TATGCCCGTCCGGGCTGGCGACGAGAAGTCTGCGCGGCAGCGGCCTTATCAGTATAGGTCAAGATTGCATTCTTAAAGGAGACACATTTTCTATACAAGGTCATCGTGACTACAGGAGTGAAATATATACAGGAAGTTTTGACATCGGGAGTATGGCTGAAGAGTCCATATTGAACTCTGTCATTAACACATCGATTAATCAGCTGCCATTCGTCGCTGAAAATCACAATAGTACATTTTGGAAAATCAAGGGGCAAATACAAGACTTGCTGAATCAATCTGATGAAGGGATGTCAAATGAAGACATACACCATATGTTATGATATATATACTGTACTTCATAGTAATCGCAGTAATAGTAACGGCAGTTATCTACATGTATAGAAGAAAATTATATTATATCCCCACGGCGAGGCCAGCCGACGCGACTCCCGCGGCCCCCGCGCCTGGCAGCCCGCCACCGCAGCCGATCGAGCGCCTTGTACTCAGCGGTCCGCGTACACAGGATAAGACTACATCCACAATGTTTGACAAGATTATCAAGTTCGAATGTAAAATAGACGAATAATATTTTCGTATTTTATATACTTTACAGATTTTATTCTCTTTCTTTTGTTTTAGGTTTGGCAATATGTACGAGTAAACCCGTACATTTTTATATGTTAGCGTAATTGGAGCGCGAGCTCGTGTTTGACGTCATTTTAATGCATTGTACATATTATGTTTTCTTTTATAATAAATTCAGTACCATTCGCAAGGCGTTACAGTTAACAGTGTTTTATTTGCATCCTACAATCTCAGTATTTGAGTGGTACTCCTTAACAGCATTTAATCTTGCATTGCACTGCATTACATATTTGCATATTTACGTACACATACATTTTTACAGGATAAAGGTAACAAAGGAACACACACTCTACCTAATGGTAAGTGGGTGATCTAGCTCATAGACATCTACATCTATCCTCGATTAAACCCGTGCATTCTAGTCACTCGTCAAGGCTGTCCAGGGGAATTTCTGTCAGCCATCTCTTCCATCTCTGCACAGGGAGGACGACTCACTGGCCCATACCGCAAAGGAGAAAGCCGATCTTCCAGGCTCTTTCTTTGCGTCCAACTCGACTCCATGCCGGAAGTGCAGTTCACACAGCGCTCGGTTCGAAAAGCACTTCTCTCCCTGGACATCCACAAGTCGAGTGGGCCTGACGGAATTCCCCCAATTGTGCTGAGGACGTGTGCTCTAGAGATGGCACCGGTTTTAACGCGTCTTTTCCGGTACTCCTACTCCCTAGGCGTAGTCCCAAAATCATGGAAGACGGCTTTCGTCCACTCGATCCCTAAAAAAGGCGACCGCTCAGACCCGTCCAACTACCGGCCTATCGCCATCACCTCCTTGTTCTCCAAAACAATGGAGTCCATTGTAAACTGCCAGCTCATGAGGTACCTTGAGGATCACCAGCTGATTAGTGACCGCCAATACGGTTTTCGCCGTGGTCGGTCAGCTGGTGATCTTCTGGTCTACCTAACTCACAGATGGGCGGAGGCAGTAGAGTCCAAGGGGGAGGCATTGGCCGTTAGTTTGGACATTGCAAAGGCCTTCGATCGGGTTTGGCACAAAGCGCTTCTTTCAAAGCTCCCTTCCTATGGGCTTCCCGAGAAATAGTGCGATTGGATCACCAGCTTTCTTGCAGATCGGAGCATCAAAGTCGTTGTAGACGGTGCAAGCTCCGATTGCAAGCCTATTAATGCTGGTGTTCCACAAGGCTGCTTGCTATCGCCAACGCTGTTTTTTCTGCATATCAAAGATATGTTGCAAACCCGTAACATTCATTGCTATACAGATGACAGCACTGGTGATGCTCTTTACACCGGTCGTGCTAATATTCCTCGGGAAAACGTCTCCGAGTACCGGGACAAATTTGTGTCTGAAGTATAGTCTTTGCTGAACAGAGTCTTGGATTGGGGGCGACTAAATCTAGTCCAGTTTAACCCCCAGAAGACACAAGTTTAAGCGTTAACCACTTAAAAGAACCCCTTTGTCCTATCTCCTCAGTTTCAGGCACTTCCCTTATTGCCTCAGCCAGTAACAGAATCCTCGGCGTCGACATATCGAGTGACGTGCAGTTTCATGGTCACTTGGAAGGGAAGGCCAAATTGGCCTCTAAAAAGCTTGGCGTGATCAGCAGAGCGGGACAGTATTTCATGCCGGCACACCGCCTGCAACTTTACAAGGCGCAGGTTTGGCTGCACATGGAATACTGTTTCCATCTCTGCATCGGCTCGATTTACTAGCACTGCGAAGAGATGTTGCATCTCTTTGCATTTTTTTTCGCATATACCATGGAGAGTGCTCTGAGGAATTGTTTGGATTAATCCCAGCCGCCAAATTTCGTGAACGCACTACGCGGCAAACGTCCCGATACCATCCACATCATCTGGATGCTTGGTGGTCCACCACTGTAAGTTTCAAGACGAGTTTTCTTCCGCGTACAACCTCTCTGTGGAATAGTTTACCACCAGCGATTTTTCCGGACCGATACGACCTGGGGACCTTCAATAAAACAGCGTACTCCTTTTTTAAAGGGCCGGCAACGCACTTGCAATTCTCCTGGTGTTGTGGTTGATTATGGGCGGCGGTAGTCACTTAACATCAGGTGAGCCGCATGCCCGTTTACACCCTCTTCTATAAAAAAAATTGTAAAGAGGCTTTAGTTCACCAGTGGGTTTACGAAAGGCTGTAATGATGATGGTGATGATAATTAATTCTGAACTTAAACTATGTACTTCATACCATTTTTGCGCGCATATTTAAAAAATAAAAATAAATTAAATTTAAGTGGCAGCCCTGGTAACAGGAACAGCGTAACAATCTGCTGAGCTAGAGGGTTTGGAAAAGAATTAAACCGATGCTTGTTTAAAGTGCAAATTACTTATCAGACTTATCAGGACAAATTCTGGATTCTATCAGTCGCATTTGACGTGATAATACCGAACCAATTGTCTCCAAGTTATTTTACTTTAAATAATAGATTCTAATTATCGTTCCTGTTCCTTTTTCCTTTTATTCCTCAAAAACCTGTTTTGTGGCATTCCTAGGGAGAGGAGTATGTCCAGCAGTGGACTATTGAAGATCTCAATTAATGAAACTGTTTTTTTAATCTGACAGATGATTACTATATGCTCTTTAAAATCCAGTATTAATTATTTTACCTATAGAAATATCTTTACACCTATGATGTATTTATTATTAAAAATCTCGATAAAATTTTAGACATTGACCAAAATTGGACAAAAAATTGCAATTTTGTTATGATATTATTTATGGCTTTCTTGGAAAAGTCTTTTAAATTGCAATTAACGGGTAAAGCATGTAGTGAGCAGTAAAACTATGGGGGAAAAATAAGTAAAAAAAAAGTCCCAAGGTATCCGAACGAGCAGTTGTAAGTGGTTATGGAATTATGGATAATAATATAGAAGCAACGGTAAGGTACTCAAGCCGGGATGGGTAATGTTTTTTACCATCAAATTTGAGTTCTACGATAATGTAATAAAGTGTAAAATACAGTAAATTATGGCCTTTGGAGTAAGTTTAAATCTATAACTAAAGGCAGCATTATTTGCTAATATCGAATTCGCGAGGCTATTGAAATAAAAAAATATCCTAATTTCATTAGAAAAGATGGCTGGCTACCATCTGCTTGGGATCCCATAATTAATAAAATTAAATCCAAATCCAAGTGTACCACTGCAAACTTCAAGATACTGTAAACTCGTTATGCGTAGATCAGAATAAAATTAATAATTAAAGTTGAAGGTAGCCTTCGTTAACTCTGACATCGGAACGTTATATACCTCAGTCCCCCCCCCACCCCATGGGGTGAAACGGGAATGCGGAATTAGAAAAGTTAAAATAAAACATAATATTATCGGAAAAGTTAGTTTTATTCCATGTAAAATCTATATCATAAATACAATTCGTTATTTGGTCCTGAACTAAATTGAATAATATTCATGGTTATTTTATAATATACGGCCAAATTTGCAGAGAAGGTTCAAAATAAGTAATGTAGGCGAAAAGTGAGAAAAAAATATTAAAAAAATCTCAAACATTCTTTTCTATCTTTTAAAATTAAAATGCGTGGTGCTAATTAAATGCATTATTTTAACTGATTGTCATACGTCAAATATCTAACGCCTAGTATTTTATTACGCACGCACATATTCGTAAGAGTCGATCGCTTACAAAATTACTCGGGAAAATGCACGACAATATAAATAAATTTTAAAACTTTATCGGTTACGTCGTTTATAAAATAAATAAGTATATATAAATATATAAAATATATAGATAAATAGATAAAATAAAATAGAAATATTTTTTTATTTTAGTTATTATGACGATACTGAGCCCATTAAATAGTGTGAAGGGAAAATTGATTTTTTTAATTCGCATCGTGTAGTAATTAACTTAAGCATTAGTGGTAAGCGTATCACTAAGAAATTTATATTATTCATATAAATAAATTTAGCTAGTTTCTTTGAAAAATAACCCTGTCTATACTAAAAAAAATATTGCCTGTCTAGGCAATATTTATTCACAATAGCGAACTGTCCCGGCTTCGCACTGGTGATGTCTTTATACTCGTATCGACAATAGTGCCACCTGTAGGGTTCAAATGTAAATAAACAATCTAGGGACCCACTAAAACACACACAAAAAATTTCATCAAAATCGGTCGAGCCGTTTTTGACTTTTAGCGAGACTAACGGACATCAATTGATTTATATATAAATATAAGATTTTGAATCGACAAAAACTTTTTTCGATTTAAAATTGTGATAATCAATTAACTAACGATAAATTAAGACAATTATACGAATTCATACTAAACGCCAATTTTTTACAAGTTATATTTAAAAATAAATATCGTTGATTTCCAAGCGTAACCATAACAATAAATCATATTCACTAGCCATTAGCAGCAGAAAAGAAAGTGAAAATGTCAACAACGGCAACTAAACAAGTAAAATCTTCCAACTCAGCGAACATATTAATGTGCAAACAGTGGTGGAAAGTGTGTTGGATGTATGGTGACCAAGAAAAATATTACAGACAACTATACGGCAAGAGAAAAGTTAACACTATTAACTCAGAGTTTCTTAATTTCGACAAAGTAGATACAAAGCGAACTGGCGCCCAGATAACTGAACTTACGGATGACTTTTTTGAAGATAATTTCAGTTCACAAATCGATCCAGCGCCAGATGAAAGCCAAACTGCTAAAAATGAACATACAGCATGGTTTGGTGTTGAATCGGAACCTATTTACGGTTTTGAGTCGACGTGGCAAAAAGACCAAAGAAGACAACCAATTCAACAAAATTACGATGATCTTAACGATATCCTCGATGATGACCTTAATACAGATACGATTAAGACTATGCTTCAAAACGGACTACCTCTAGAACCTAAAACTGAATTGTTAGATTCAAAAGAACATATACACAGGAACGGTGATATGTTTGGAAAAACCTCCAAAACTATTTGTAAAACGAAAAAGGGTGCTATAGTTACGGAAGAAACGGAAATTTGTACAGACGGCAAAACAACTGCTAATTTAAGGTTTCAGCGCTCAACAGTGAAAACAGGTCCCAATAAATTGAAAGAAGTATTACAGCCCTTAAAGGAAGATAAAGTTTTAGACGAGTGTTCAAGAAAAAAGTGTGTAGGTGATAAGCTGACCACGACGACGAGGACTTTGGTTACCGTCTCTCAGACATCAACAACTTCCTGTAATGAGTGAGTAATGAAATTACACAGTTTCTTTAAATTTAGGGGCTATTTCCCGCAAATATTACTTATTATTACTTGCATTAATGTCTGCATTGATATTTTTTGTATCGATTAAGGGTGACAAACAAGCACACAGTCCATCTGATGGTAAGTGGATGCTGTGGCCCATAGATATCTACACCTATCCTCTAATATTAAGAATCAAAATGAGAACGCATTGTTAGCCCTGAGGACTAACATGGAATGGTACTATATAATGCTACTATAACCACTGGCAAATATTTGCTTTCATCACTTTTAATTATTAATGTATTTAATTTGTCGAATAATTTAAGTTTGGTTCCTCGTTTATTAATAATGTCCTCCAGACCGAATTTCGGTCACGGCAACCAGTCTCAACGGAGAATAACCATCTACGTAGGACAGAATTACAGTCGAATTAGAATAATTCTAGTGCACGAGTGCGTACAGCACAGGATTATAGTTAGTCTATTCCCTCGCTTTCATAGTCGATGGGACGGTAATCTGATGCAACCGGAAAGGAATCTGGCGCAGGACCAACGGCTTCACGTGCTTTCCGAGGGTCGGGGGTGAAACACTGACAACTTCTTGACTCCGGACTGATAAACCTAATAGCTGATTTTAGCCCAACCCGGGATTCGAACCCGATCAACGAGGCAGTCAGGTAATTCCTTGTATATTTCGTCCTTGATAATTTAAATATTGTTCTGTTGTTTTCACCATTGAGTAACGTTTGTCATTTCCGCAATTTTGTTGAAATTGCTCGGCAGCTGGCGCGCCATTGTCTGCCCGAGTTCGCGCCACGAACGACTCTCTAGTTACTGTTCTCTCAGTAATGACGTTAGTCGGAATTCCACAACGCTTGCGGTTTCAGAGTATGGTCTAAGTTTTGAGTTTGAGCAGGTATAATTAAAAAAAATATAGCTAAAATATAATGGGATAGTAATGCTATTAATTATGTTAATAAACCGGTTAACCACTGCAAAGAAATAAAAATGCTTAGAGGTGGTTCACGACTGTAGTGGAATAGTGAGTTCGATCCCAAGACTCTTAATATTCGGTCACAACATTATTCAGTAGATAACTGTAACTTTAAAATATTGCTTTTAACTATTTTATATCCAAAATAAATTTCACTTACAATAATGCATATCTCATGTAAACCACACTTTTTTTTCTTAGAATAAATATGACAAACGAGCACGCAATCCACCATTTATCCTCGATTAAAAATCAAAAAAACAGATGCGTTGTCACCTCTGAGGACTGAGATAAAATGCCTCGTTTCCAGTAAAAAAGTTAACCAGTTATCTAAACTAACCACAGCAGCATTAAGCTGCTATTTCACGCTGGTATTCTGTGAGAGCGTGGTCGTTCCCCGGTCGAGCCGACCCATTCGCGCTACAACCATAATATAGCTGCAGCGTGGCTCTACCACGTGTAGGAACATCAGATTATAAGCATCAATTTAAAATTATTAAGTCGATGCGATCGATTAAAATTACTATATCAGTTTGAAAAAATTGTTATAGGCTATAGTCAAATTAATATTTTGTTATTATTTCTATACTATTTATTATACAAAGAGGATCAAACTTTCAATTAAGTATTTCACTATACAAGAATATTATTAAACTGCGCATTACTTTTAACTTAGACCATGAAAGTAACGAAAATCGTTCACACCGGTTCTTGCTCCATGCTTTTCCTTTTGATGTCAACAACAATTTATTTCAGTTAGCGATATCAACTTACGTCAAGTTTCTTATCACAAATAATTAGCATGTGTGTTAACATTAACATTATAAATGTTGAAAAAACATAGTTTGTATAAAAAGGGTTATTATAATATTAAGGAATTTATGCATGATAATAACCCCTGAGAATGAGGTGATTGCTGCCAAAATGGATCTTTTTTTTTACATGCTCCGCTCGGTTTCTTGCTGGTTCTTACGCTGGCGCATACGTGCACGTCGGTTAAGAGTTGACGGGCCGCGGATTTTAATTCCGTACGGAATAACTATTTTTATGGCCTACAAATAATTGTTCCGGCTCTGGATGTTTGTCCTTGTGCAATTTATGTTTGTAAATTGCCCCCACGATACAGAAGAGTGAAATTTAGTGTGGGTGTTGTTCGCGACGTCTTGTTATGAACATAGAAAGACATTTTTTGACATTTTTGACGCATTTGAAACGTCTTATGCGTTGAAGGTCCTTTTGACCGCTGGCGAGATCCGTGTAAGCTCCGGGGGCGACACTCGGTATTGAACACCGACGTAAAACGAACGCTTCCCGTACTTTCTACTTATTATCTTTTTGTATTGACATCTTAATTTCTACATATTATATTAATTGGAATCGAATAAGTCTATAAGTACTACAGTCTACTCGTATATCATTCAACAACAGTGTAACGTTTATTACATTCCTGACTCTACCGTTCACTTCTACAGCACATATCAACAGACATCATATTTCAACAAATTAGTTAGTGGCGGTTGAGAATATCCACTACCCCATATCTTCCCGTGGGTGTCGTAAGAGGCGACAGAGGGAAACAAATCAGGAGATGGGCAGCAGCATCATCCTGATAATGACTCAAACTTATAAAAAACTTTATTTCTCAAGCGTAGCAACTATGGAAAAATTCTTCCTATGAGGCAATCTACGAAGTAGGCCTATGTTCAGCCATGGACCTTAGAGGCTGTAATGGAAACATACTGGTTGCAAAGCTCAGAACATATGTTTATACAGAATCTCATGAGATATTATAATGAACGAAGTATGGATATCGCAGTGCCCGACACGAACCATGTCCCACTCAGCTCCAAGTGAATCATTTTACAAATATGTTATGCCTTCCCTGCCACTGCTGAGGGCCTAACGAAAACTCAGAATTATCTAACGTCTAGTTTATTTCCTTTTTTTCGGAATACTTTTTACCAGCTTCTAACCACAGCTTCTTATTATAATAATTTAGGAGAAGAGGGCAGCAGCGCGCATTTATGCATAGTATCGTGTATCACCGGAGCAGAAGTATATTATATATATTGAATTATATCCAAAAAATTTAATAATTACAAATTTTGTACGTTTTATTTTTGTTTGATACATCATACAAAACATATTTTAAGTTTCAATTATACCTACTTTTAGGGGTTGGTTTTTTAAAGAACTTTTTTTAGCGTGACAAACAGCACACAGTCCACCTGATGGTAAGTGTTTGCTGTGGCACATAGACATCTACATCTATTTATTATTATATATTATAGATTACGAATCAAATTGCAGATGCGTTGTCACCCGTGAGGACTAAGATGGAAAGCCTCGTTTCCAGTAAAAGGGCCTCCGGTTCTCTAAACTCACCATACGAAACACAGCAGCATTAAGCTATTTTACGCTGGTATTTTGTGTAGAGCGTGGTTCTTCCCCGGTCGAGCCGACCCATTCGTGCTACAACTATACTACTAATATAACTGCAACATGGCTATACCACGTATGAAAAAAAGAATTCTATTTCTTTCCTCAGAGCTCAAGTGATTTTCATAAAATTTCAATTTTCATCAAATCAGTGCAGCGGTAGCGGTAGCGGTATCAGGTATGGCCGCGAAAACGTAACAGGCAGACAGGCTTGTTTCGTATTTGTAACATTATTAAGTTTAGATTAAATTTGTTTGACTGAATTTAGTTTGGGTTTTTTTCTGTCAAGAGGTTTTCAGTAGCATTCCGAAGTATTAAAGTTGACTGTGTTTTACCGTGACTGAAATTCGGTCTGGAAATCATTTTTTTATAGCAGAGGGGGAAAACTAGCATACGGCTCCCCTGATGGTAAGTAATAACCGCTGCCCATCAACAACTGCAACACCAGGGGAATTGCAGATGCGTTGCCGGCCTTTTAAAAAGGAGTAGGCTCTTTAATTGAAGGTCCCTAAAGGTCACAGCTCATTAGAGCCACCCGACACCCGACCCTCATCGCCTCGCCTCGAGCGGTTCGTATTCTTCGTTTGAATTTGTATGGGCCTGCGGTCACTACATCAACTCCGTAACTCACTTACTCGATAATAGCTCGCTGTTGGCATGCTTGCCTCTCGTGAAGCGCGAGCTGGCGCTCTCCACAAACTCTTCATTTCAAGCCTTTCTTTCGAATGTGTCGGACGCATTGTTGTTTGTTTTTAAAACGAACAAAGAAAAACTTATAGAAGAAGTTCGGAAGTATAATTTATTGTATGATTTAAGGGTCACTCGTTGATCACGCGAGGTCCACTCGTTGACAACGCGGCGTCCACCCGTGGTCCACCTGTCGACTACGAGTGGACGCCTGGCGACGAGGGTGTGAGGGCCGGGTGGCTCTAATGAACTGTGACCTTTAGTCGTTTCGGTCCAGAAAAATCTTTGGTGGTAGTTGATTCCACAAGGAAGTTCTGCGAGGAAGAAAACTTCATTTAAATCGCACGGTAGTGGATCGCCAGTCATCCAGACGGCAAGGTTAATTAAAAAAGGCTTATTAATAAATTATTATACAGTAATTCATTTTCATAATCGGCTTATGTTTGTTCACTTAAGTTTACTGTTATTTATATTTGCAAATAATATTTCTTATAATTAATTACCTTTTTATCTCTTCGGAGCTACTTTTTCTAGTTTGTTAAATTGTTATTTTTATAAATTCAAATCAAATCAAATAATTTATTTGTTTTGGCCATTAACAGCATAAATACTACACATGATGTGTAGTATTTATGCTGTTAATGGCCATAATTTTTTATAATTAAATATTTTTAACTAGTTTTATTATAATACACATTTAAAATCCTAGTAAGCCTCTAACGAATTAAAATTTCTGTTTCCTAATAAACTTACAATTTATTGAAATGTTACTCGCAGTCCCGAATAAGAAAAAATCGCAACTGATGCGTCTTCTTTGCCTGCGAAATAAGTTTGAATACAAAAAGATAAACATGGCGTCGCATAAGAATGAGATGATG